GGCATCACAGCTCACAGCAACCTCCAACTCCTGGGCTCAAGCGAGTCTCCTGCCTCTGCCTCCCAAGTAGCTGGGACTACAGGTGCCCGCCACAGCGCCCAGCTATTTTTTTTGGTTGCAGCCATCATCGTTGTTTGGCGGGTCTGGGGCTGGATTCGAACCCGCCACCTTAGGTGTACGTGGCTGGTGCCTTAGCCGATTGAGCCACAGGCACCGAGCCTGGGTAGAGAATTCTAGGCCCCCCTCTAATGACTCCACAGCCTGGTGATGGGGGCTCTGGCAGAGAGTGCAGGTGGGCAACAGGCATGTCCTCCCGTGGGCCTTTGATCACAAAGCTGTTTCCATAAGCAAGGAACTTAGGGTCTTTTCCCACCCTGTCTTCATGTAGCAAACACCTCTTCTGCTAAGGCTCCCCCTGGACATGGGCTGCAGAGAAGTACCCGTGTGCAAGAAGAGCTTCCTTGGCTTCTGATAGAAGCGGCAGTTTGGCAGGATGGACACCAGACAGGCCTGCGCTGCCCACCCTGGGCAGAGATTACCGGCTCTGGGCTGTGGGTGGACACACAAAGGGGCAGGTGCCAGGGCTCTAGGCGGCCTCAGGCCCTGAGGGCTCAGGTGTACCTGTACCACCAGGCTCACTGAGGCTCCTCATTTCTTTAGCTGCAGATCTGGGACACGGCCGGCCAGGAGCGCTTCCGCACCATCACGCAGAGCTATTACCGCAGTGCCAACGGGGCCATCCTCGCCTACGACATCACCAAGAGGAGCTCCTTCCTGTCAGTGCCCCACTGGATCGAGGACGTGAGGAAGTACGCGGGCTCCAACATCGTGCAGCTGCTGATCGGTGAGCTGGGCCACTTGGGACCACAGAGCCCGTCTCCCTGTCTGCCTCTCAAATACAGGGTGAATGTGAGCACAGAGACCGAGCTTGGCCTGGCAGGAACCCAGCCAGAATTTGATCTATGATTTTGTAAATTCTGATCCCAGTAATCACTTACAAAGTTAATTCAAAATTGGAATTAAAGGCGGTGCCTGTAGCTCAGTGGCTAGGGCGCTGGCCACATACACCAAGTCTGGCAGGTTTGAATCCAGCCTGGGCCTGCCAAACAACAATGACAACTACAACGAAAAAATAGCCGGGCATTGTGGTGGGCACCTGTAGTCCCAGGTACTTGGGAGGCTGAGGCAAGAGAATTGCTTAAGCCCAAGAGTTGGAGGTTGCTGTGAGCTGTGATGCCACTACACTCTACCCAGGGTGACACAGTGAGACTCTGTCTCAGAAAAGGAAAAAAAAAAATGGAATTAAAGGAAAGAAGAAAGAGAGCTAGTTGGCTCTGCAGTTCCCTTGTGTCTGCCACACATCTGCAGCCTCTGCACAGTGGCTTGCGCTACAGCTGTCTGCACAGGGACCATGGGATTTGAAGTGCAACTTGTCCTTTGACAGAGCTGGGGCTGGACTCAAGAAAGCAGAGATCTATCCAGTCTTGTAGCCTGTGAGCCTGCAGTGTGGGATTTGAGCTCTGCTCACCGCAGTTTGCTGATTGCTCCATCACGCCACACTGTAGGGCAGCACACGTCATCAGCCGGCCTCAGAATCACTCGGAGGGCTTATTAACGTGCAGGTGTAGGCCCCACCTCCAGAGCCACCACCCAGGAGGGCTGAGTGGGCCCCGTGAGGTACATTTCTAACAAGTTCCCGGGTGACACCCACGTTGCTAGTCCAGGGTTGAAACCCACTGCTGCAGAGGGAGGCCATTTATCTCTGCTTTCCTTCTGCATAAACGTCCCAGGCTGGAGCTCAAGCTCTTTTTTGAGACAGAATCTCACTTTGTCACCCTCATTAGAGTCCTATGGCATCACAACTCACAGCAACCTCAAGCCTTGGGCTTAAGCCATTCTTTTGCCTCTGCCTCCCAAGTAGCTGGGACTACAGGTGCCCACCACAATGCCTGGCTATTTTTTGATTGCAGCTGTCATTGTTGTTTGGCAGGCCCAGGCTGGATTCAAACCCTCCAGCTTAGGTGTATGTGGCTGGTGCCTTAGCCACTTGAGCCTTTTTTT